AGGACACAGTTACAGGACTCAATTTCCTAAAAGTTTGTGCTCACCTGGTAAAAAAAATTATGAGTAACTTTGGTTCCCCTAGGATCTTAAGCCTCTGAAGCAGGCATTTGGGCCTAATGTTTCAGCAACCCCCCAGATTGTACTACTCCCATATGCAGCAAAGGAATATGTGGCCTATCTATGTAATTGTGGCCTTCTCAGCCTTGTGTTTAATAGCATGATATAAATAGGTAGGACTGAGTTAAAAGCATGGAGGATCAATATGGCAGTTATCATCAAGATGTTCAAGATATAACAGGCCATTTGTTTGCTTCCACATGATTACATTGGCCTGGGCACATTACAGAAACCATTGCAAAAAGTTCAGTTCTGCCGTTACAGAAAATGTCAGCCGTAGGACTTTGTAAAGAACCATAGAACTTTTCTGGGGGATCAGTAACGCTGGGTGCTTCAGTAAGAGTGTCATAGTATGACCAAAGCAGTAGAAATGAGGATTGTTGATTCATCCATACAGTGGAGAACAAAGAGAAACAAGGACTCCATGCTGAAGCTTGGGAAACTGAGTCACAGCAAGGAAAAGTAATGTATTCAAGGTCATACACTAGTCAAGGGATAGAACTTTAATCTACTGTTTCTGAGTCTAATACCTTAAACTGTGTCAACTCTGCCTCCTGTGATTCAGGAAAGTAAGATTCGATTCCTGACCTTTGCTTTGACTGCCTGTTCATCTTGCCCTGTAAGAATAAGAGCTTCTCCTCACATTTGTTTCAAGGTCAGGACTAATTTGATCTCTAAAACTGTTCATTTCCTCTGACTTTAGATGTGTGTCTCACTACAACTGAAAGAGCCAGATGGAGGTTCTCATCTCCCAACTTGTATTTGTCTTTCCTTAGAAATAATATATGATGACAGCAGAGTGTCAGCACCTGAAATGGCTGACAACCAATGGCTGCCTGAAAGAAATCAAACTATCTACATAATAGCAAAAAGTAAAAGCAAAACATTTGGTACCGTACACAGATTTCCATGATAAAGTTATGCAGTGATCTGTGATTTATCCTAGAGCAGGTAATATAATGCATGGGGGGTGTGGAGCGTAGCCGACATCTCCCCCTCAGACATTTTGTGGAAGGAAGCTAGGGTTATTATAGGACAAGAATACAGTCTCCCAGGTCACACATCATCTGAAAGGGGCCAGGGATAAGCCATTGCCATTATTTTCCTTATCCCTTCCACACACCACACTTTGCACTAATCAGAGCAGTTAGGAGGTACCATTCAAAGAGGCAGACCCTGTTCTTTCCCTCTGCAGAGCTCTGTCAGGGATTGTTGCTACTAAAGCAATGTGTCATTTGCACAGTTTTACCCAGTCTTTGTAACGGGTAATTCTCATTATGGCATCAACTTTCCTTGAGCAGTTTAATGTTCAGGATTCTCAAAATTCAACTGCCACAACTCCATGGGGGAGAAATTCTCATTGCAAGCAATAATCCTATTAGTTTTTATGCACTACTGAATAGCAAACCAATCCTGCAAACCTATATTCATGAGTAATCTTTATTCACCTGAACAGTTCCATTAAAGTCAACGGCATGATTTGAGAGAGTAAGAATTACTTGCATAAGTAAAGTTTGCTCTGCCAGGACCTATGATTGTGCAAATTTAATAATAAAAGCAGCAATCCCAACTATTTTAACGCACATGGGAAATGATTAATTAACAAGGAATAAAGTGACTCTTACAGCCCTGCACACAGCAACACAGGGCTATTCAATACCCTGCAAAATTGATTTCTCAGGCCTTGCTTGGCCTGACACAATATCCTTAAAGCAGTTTCAAAGCAAGTCACCAGTCTGAATAGTAATAGTTACCATAGTATAACTATGTTTCCTGGGACTGAAGCGCATGGCAGTACTTAAGAAGATAGATTGGCTAGGACCACACAGACCCAGCCTATTAAAATAGTTTTCCCAAGGCTGTAATTATATTCAACAATTCCAAATCCACAAGCTTTGCAGAAAGATAATGCCTCCAAAAACTAGCTTTATCACTGCAAAGGAATTATGCCCCTCTTCAATTTTTTTCCCCTTAATTAAAGCCATTTTATTGACGTACTGTATTTACAATGTCTGGTTCATATTTTTTTGGCAAATACTGGGTTATAATATGCAAACCCATACTTTTGCAAAGAAAAATCACTTTCCTTTGTGATATGTTCAGTCTGTAGGTTGGGCTTTCATTTTGTTTTACTTCAAAGGAAGTCTGAATGAACGTACCTCCACTACAATGCTTCTATAAGCGACTCCACTCAATGAAGCAATTAGATGTCCATCAGAAGAACGTAGCTTTATGATTCTGCAAATGCCTGATTACATAAGTACTGCTTATTCAAATAATTCCACTGAAGTCAGTAGACGTGGGCATCATACTGAGATTGCAACATGAAGTGTCATTAATTTTCACATACAAGGAAGAGCAGAAACAAGTCAGGAACCCTATATAATTATTAAGAAAAAGGGTTGAAGAAGATCCCATTAAGAAATATGATTTTTTTTGTTTGTTTACTAAGTTCCAACAGCAACAAATCA